GCACTTTGACTCTCTCTCTCTCTCTCTCTCTCTCTCTCTCTCTCTCTCTCTCTCATGTATTTTGGTACATTTTAGGCATACAGTACAGTTACATTCATCCCTGGGATCTTGTACCTTTACATGATGTATTTTGGTTCTCATTTTTTCCCCTTGTCCCTTACCTCCCTTCACCCCTTCCACCCTTCTCTATTTACAAAGACTTTGTATCTGCTTTTTCCTCTTCTCATGTTGGACTGTTTTCCATGGTCACAACTTCTCAGAGGCCCCCATTGGCACGGCCAAACCCCGCTTTGTGTTGTCCCCAAGCCCTGCCAGCCATCCCATGTCTTTAGGTGGCCTTTATGTTCCCTGTCCCTAAGAAGCTAACAATGCCATGATGCTTTCTGGTAGAAGGGGGGGAAAAATCTGGGTGGCAATAGTCACTATGCCAACAAGTGAATTCAGGGCTTATCACAGAAAATGAGAAACAGCACTTCAGAGCAGGGTGTGGTGACACACACTTTGAAATCCCAGCACTCTGGGAGGCTGAGGCAGGAAGATTGCAAGTTCAAGCTCAACCTGAGCAACTCAGCGTTAGTGAGACACTGTCTCAAAAAAAAAATATTTTTTTAATTTTGAAAAGATCCAGAGACATAGTTCAGTGTAAAGGTCCAGGATTCAAACTCCAGTACAAGAGAGGGAGAGGGACAGAGATGAGAGGGAGGAAGGGAAAGAAAGCAGCGAGGAAGGTAGGGAGGAAGGCCCACCTGGGGATGCAGACCCTTGTCCTCACCAGCTCTGACACGGAGCATCTTCCAGGAAGATGAAAAAGCTCATCCGGCGCCTGAGGCGGCGGAGGCAGAGCCCCTCGGACCACGAGGAGCAGGGGAAGAGGAAGCAGCGCTATGAGGTAGACTACAACCTGGAGCCCTTCGCCGGCCTCACCCCCGAGTACATGGAGATGAGTGAGTGGAGGCCTTGGCCTCACGGTGCCCTGGGGCGGCCGCGGCAGGGTAGAACCGGGCCCTGGGGCTGTAGAGTCCCAGCTGGAGCTGAGGGCCAGGAGCACCCAGACCCTGTGACGCAGGTGCCATTGCCCGTGGGTCCGTGAGCGCTGCCCCTCTGGATTGGCCCTGACTCCTGAAGGCCCAAGGCAGGCAGCACCATCCCCACCCACACAGCATGACACACAGGCCACTTCCCCCCTCTTCCCCAACCATTGGAGACCCAGCCCACTAAGCCATGAGTCCCTGCTCCACCCCAGGATCCAGTTTCCGGGCCACACTTCCCCCTTCCTGGAGTGAGCTCCTGAGGAGAGTACTCCGCAGTGGCCTAGAGATGAGACCTGTCACCACAGAACGCCCAGAGGCAGCCTGTAACTCTTGCAGGAAGGGCAGAGCAGAGATGGGGTTAGCCCGGTGTCGCTTAACAGCCCCCTGGAGCCCCTGGCCCCACTTCCTCTCCCTCTGCTTCCTCCACCCTGGCCCCACTGGCCTCTGTGCGGTTCCCTCACACATTGCTCAGGTCTGGCCTGGGACCTTTCTGGGTGGAATGCTCTCCCCCAAATACCTCATGACCTCCTCTCTCCCTTCCTCCAGGGTGCTGCTCAGAATGTCCCTTATCAGACGTCTCCCAATGACAGAGGTCCAAGAGACAGCCCCCACCCACGGGCAACAGCCCTGCCCTTCCCACTGCTCCCTGCTGCCAGTCCCCACTGGCACCTTCAGTCCCTTCTTGCTCCGTCCTGACTGTCTAACTCCCCACCCAAGGCAGGCTTCACTACCACTCATTCGCCTGCCCCCAAGACAGGCCCAGGTATACAGTGGGTGCTCAACATGTTTGGGGATGAGTGGGTGCAAGAAGGCAGGCAGGAAGACTCAGGCAGAGGGCTTCTGAGCACAGTGTCCTTGGCCACCACTAGTGGGTCTCAAAAATGCTGGTTCCTAAGCCCATCCTTGGCCTTTGCGGGAGAAGGGCTGTGCGGGACTCTGCATTTTCAACAAGGACTGAGAAGGTTGGACAGGCCTGGAGTAAGTGCCCAAGTGCACACAAGTCTGCTCTGTGCGAGCAGTGTGGCCTCAGTTTGCAGGAGCCCAAGGGATGACCCTGTGCATTGCTGCAGGAGCACCTCCCTGCACCTCTCTGTGCCTCCCTGTGCTCCTCCTGTGGGCCCAGTGGCTCCAGAGAGGTGGCCCCAGGTCCCCAGGTGATTGTACAAGGGGCATCTGGCCACTGACCCGGGCTGTAAAGGGCTGTGTTTCGATGGCTGTTTTTCTCTGTCTTTGTCATCTCTTTTGTTATGGGGAGTGAACCCCAGACCTTTATACTGAGCTACATCCCCAGCTCTTTTTTCATTATTTGAGACAGGGTCTCACTAACTCATTAAGTTGGCCAGGCTGGACTTGAACTTGCAACACCACACTAGCCTGTCTCCTTTCTCCTGGAAGAAAATCCTTGATGATCCAAAGGCGGCCAGATGAGCGGCTCGGAGGCAGCTACTTCTGCGGCTGCTAAGACTCAGCCAAGGGTCCGTGGCCAGCCCTACCCTTGAGGTCAGCCTGCGCCTGCCATAGAAGCCTGGGAGGCCAGATAACTAAGAAAACCACCCCCTGCCATTGGCTGAGACCATGGATGTTTCTCTGGGTTTTCCTCGTGGCTAGAAGTTTCCGTGTTCCTCCCGAGTCTGGAAAAATGGAATTCCTAGAGTGGGCTCCCCTTTCCCACACCTGGCCTGACCCCACTGTCCCGGGTATGCTTCTGTGCCCTGCTTTGTCCCCGTCTCGCCAGCTGCCATTGTCTCCTTGAGGGGAGACTGAGAGTACCCAGATGTAGATGGACAGGAAGGCCTACATGGCTATGTCCCACCCTGGCCCATGCCCCAGCAGCCTCTCCCACTTCTCTCCAGCCCTCTCTCATCCTGTTAGTGCCACACTAGGCAACATTGTCACTTGAAAGTGGAGACACCCCCCTGGCCAGTGACCTGCAGCGCCAAGCCCATGCGTACATCCCACATCGCCTGGTCAGCTCCTGAGCATCCACACAGGCTCCCTACCCAGCCCAGATCAAGGGCGCAGGAGGTTCCCAGAACAGTTCCAGGACAGGGCCCCACGGTCTCTGCCCACCCCCGGTGCTCACAATGCCCACAGTCAGCCATGGCCCCTGGGTGACATTCTCTTGGCTTCCTTATTTACCACCTGGCACTGGGCACCTCTGGACCGGGTCCAGATGTGTAGTTCCACACTGGCTTCCTCTAGCCTGCTCCCTTCGGCGACCTTTTCCTGATCTTTCCTCAGAGCTCAGCCAGTACCAGCTGTAGTGTCCAAGGGAGAAAAGCTCTGGTGCCCACTCATGGCACCTGTAGGAGTGAGGCCTGGGAGGGGAGGTACCAGGCCATCTGCAGGATGGGACATCTGGGGGCTGAAGGACAGTGAGGGAGCCAGACCTCAGGGAGACCCTGGCAATGGGAGAGAGAGCAGAACCGAGGCCCTTCCCACCACGAGGGAGCGGCCTGGGCCTCCAAGCTCCTGGGGCCCTTTCCAGAGCAATGACATCGCGTATCAGAAGAGCACCCCGCTATGCAAGTGTCAAGCATAGTGACTGAGCAGCGTGGAGGCTTCTCCCATTGGCCCCCTCTGGGCCTCGGGTCGCTGGGGTCATCCTGTCCTGCAAGTCCCCCTCGGCAGCTGCAGGTGGCCCTCTGGAGGCAGGGTGCTGGCCTGGGGTCTGCTGAGCAGCGCTTGCGGCCAGATATGGCGGTGACCAGCACTCCACTCTCTTCACAGTCATCCAGTTTGGCTTTGTCACCTTGTTCGTTGCATCCTTCCCACTGGCCCCGCTCTTCGCACTACTGAACAACATCATCGAGATCCGCCTGGACGCCAAGAAGTTTGTCACCGAGCTCCGGAGGCCAGTGGCTGTCAGAGCCAAGGACATCGGTGAGTGAGCAGAGGGAAGGGTTCAGAGCAAGGGAGGGCTTCACACAGCCAGAGCCGGCCCCAGCCGTGTAGAGTCAGGCGGCCTCCCCGCAAGGGCTCCTCTCTCTGCTCTGGTGATCCGAGACCTGGACACTCACTCGTTCTCCCTGCCTCCCGAGACAGACCCACTGCACCGGGGCGGGGAGGGAGTCTGATACCAGTGGCCCTGGAGCACAGAGATAGACCCCAAGGACAGTGGTACGAACTGCCTAGCAAATAGAACCTGCGTCGTACAACTGCGCCACTTAAGCTTCTTCCCAAAAGAGAAGAGGAAAAGGAGAACAGATCCCATCATTGAATAACTCATCTTTGTGGTTAGAACTTCACTCAGGCTATTTTATTTCTGTGGACCTGGGATAGAACTCCAGACCTTGCGCACGCTAGGCAAGCATTCTACCACTGAGCCACACCCCCCAGCCCACCTTTCTTTTTGAGACAGGATCTTGCTAGGTTGCCTAGGCTGGCCTCAAACTTGAGGTCCTCCTGACTCAGCCTCCCAAGTTGCTGGGATTATAGGCATGCACTTAGGATTTTCACTTGGGCTTTCCCATCCCAAGTAATTCAAGTGTGCCTCATCCATAAGGAGGAGGGGTTTGGGGGCTGTGGGGGAAAAGAATAACCACAATAGACATGTCAAAAATGGGAGCAGACTTCCTGTTGGGGTAATGATCTCCCTGTGGCCATCAGAGGCACTGAATCAAACAGGATGTCCAGGAGGGGTAAGAGACACGGGAGGCAAAGTGGATAGGCCCCAGACCCCACCCCACACTTCGGCTGGAGCTGTCCCTCACCAGCAAAGATAATGCCCTTCTTGTCCTAAAATGAGACTCAAATTTCAAAGTGAAAACAATATGGCAAACTACCCTAATTTTATCACCACAATTTTAATGAGAATGCCACTTCTGAGCTAATCCTTGAAGTAAACGAAAGATTGAGTCGTGTTAAGGTTGCTATCATTCTGTTGAAATGAAGTGGACACATCAGCGTGAAAGGGCTCCTTCAGGTTGAACTTTTGTACCCCAGACACACTTTTGCAAAACCATGGGATGCTTCCTTGGTCCTTCCAGCCCTAAATATCAACATTGTTCTCATCAGAATACCCCTCACGCTGCGCTGTTCGCACACTATTTCTTCCTGCACTGGTTAGCAGGTCTCCCAGTGCTGGAAGCTCTCCAGTCCCCGCTTTAGCCTTTGGTGGCCTGGCCACTGCCCACCAGATCTGCCAGTTCTCTACCACTCGCCTCTGAGATACTGTGGACTTTGCCTTCTCTTACACGGCGCCTTTTAGTCTGAACCAGAGGAAATCGCCACCTCCACTGTCAAATGCTATCAAACATTGGTGATTTCCTCTGGTTCACCCCGAAGCCTCACCTCCGTAGTGCAGAGTCTATCTTAGGAGCTTGGCTCAGAGGACCCTGGAAATGTGGGCGCTGTGTCTGGAGGGAGGGAATAGAGCATCGCACTCAACATGGACACTTTTGCTTCCATATGTCAACTCTTGTTAGGATGAGGCAGATGATGGAAACCCAGCAGAAAGAAATGCTGAGCTAGACCACTCAATGAGCTCTTTCTACAAAGTTTACAAATGTAAAAGCCCTGTGTGAACAGATCCAGGTCCCTCTGGGCCCCAGCATCCCTGATTTGGCCTCATCTGTGGCCAGAAATGTCCCTTGCCCCTCATGCCACACCCCCAAGTGACCAGACACCTGGTGGCCACATGGCTGGGCCTTGTGGAAGCGCTGGGTCAGCCATCATCTCAGCTTGCAGCAGAGGGCCAGAGAGCAAAGTCTCATGCTTTGTGGTCCCTAAGCCTTAGTAGGACCCTTTGTGCTGCAAGTCTTTCATTCATCTTTTTATCTACACTTAAAGTTATAAAAAGCCATTTGCAGCTGGTGGGCCAGGTGGAAACAGGCCCCCAACTGGATGTGGGCCATAGGCAAATCCCACTGTGAAGCCAGGTGATCCCCTGCCCTGCTTCTCAGAGGCACCGCACTCCCTGCTCGGACAGCCAGCCCTGAAAAGCTGGGAGCGACATGGATTTTTCCTGCAACTTTCAGCCTGGGGTGGGGAGTCTTCTGAGGAGCCACGAAGAAGCCTGGGTGGCTCTTCAGTCCCATTTCCCACATGGGGACACTGAGGGCCAGGTTGTTACAGAGCTGAGAAAGACACAAGCCCTCGTCTCTTCCATGAATGGAGGGTGGCTTGGAAAATCTCACAGCACAGACAAGAGGTTTGGAAATGGGGTCAGCAGGGCACCCTGACAGCCCTGGAAACCCACTGCTCTCTGCCCTGTGGCAGTAGAGTAAAGCAAGTGGCCTTCCTGTCACTGATGCTCACAAAGGCCTGATTCTCAGGCACCTGAGCAGAGGCTCTGGCTGAGTCCACCTGGGCATGGGTTTGCTTTGGCGCCTCTGCCTCCAGAGGCTCTTGCTGTCCCCAGACAGTGGCACCTGAAAACTTGGACACTCATCAGGGTGACAAGAGCACCACACACTGGCCTCTTGGCTCTCCATGGTCCCACCAGCTGCTGTCCCCGCCAGCAGAGTGGCCACATGCGTCTTCAGGGCTTGGCTCCTGGCTCCCTGCTCTTTCCCAGAGCTCATGGATCAGCTGCCGCTTCCTGGTTCCTGTCTGCTTGGTGGAAGGTGTGATCAGCCCGTCTTTCGCATGCTTGTTTGCAGGCTCCTTAGCTGTAACCTGTTGCTCAACAAGCTTTTGTATTCCTCCTATGATCCGTGCAGAGCCTTCAGGCTGGCCCCTGTGACCTGTGCCCCACTGGTTCTGGCCGGCCAGGGGAGGCTGTGCCCCAGAGCACAGGTGTTCTGTCACCCTTGCCACGGACTGGATGGCACAGTGGGTGCCCCAGCCTCACGGAACCCCAGCGTGGGAACCAGCCCTAGATCCCCTGGCTCCCTCCACTCTGACTTCCAGCTGTCTTCAGAGGCTGCCAGGAGAGACCTCAGCTATGTTTCATTCACCCTTGCCAAGCACCTGATTTTTCCCAGATACTTCTTTGTTGTATTCTTGGAAATGGGGCTTAGAGCCCCCTAGGATGATTTTCTTTAAAGGCCCAGAAAAAGACAAGCTCAAAGAGGTGGCTCCTCATTATTGGTCCCCATAAAAACAGCTCAGATTTTCCAAAACAACATCCTCCATATAAGCTAGAAATGGTAAGATCAGCAAGTGTTAGCCAGGATGTGCAGCAGAATCATTTGGGGGTTCAAAATGCAGGTTCTGGCTCTGCTCTAATAGAAGCAGGGATTGGAGGTCTGGTTTTGCACTTTTCTTTTCTGTGGTACTGGGAATTGAACCCAGGGCCTTCACACTGAGCTACAGTGCAGGGACCCCACAGAAAGCCAGCATCTGGACATAGACATGTTATAGACTTGTAGGACAGGCTGAGTTCCAGGCTCCAGGTGACAGTGCCTGACACTGCTCACTGGCCTGTCTACCCTTTATCCTCATCTCTCTGGGCCTGTTGGGTGACAGTCACCTGGCCTGTCTCCCTTGCTTACCCTAGGATGTGCTGAACTCAGGTGCCATCATAATGGGACCCCTGTGTGTGGAGATCTCAACCCCTGCCTCAGGCTCACCCCACCCCAGCACCCCAGCTTGGAGGTCTCAAACTCAGAGCCCAACAGGCCAGGTGGGCCACACACTGTGAAAACAGTAAGCCCCACAGTGGCGTGCATGGCTCAATGATTCCCAAAACCCTCAGCCCTTTAGATGTCCTGTGCCCCAACTTTGCAGGTAGCTGGTTCTGGAAGATGACAACTCCATTTTTTTTTCTCATTGAGCTTGTTGGTACATTTTAGGTACACAGTACAGTTACATTCATTATGGGGATCTTGTACCTTTACATGACGGGTCTTGGTTCTTATTTTTTCCCCTTGTCCCTGCCCTCCCTTTACCCCCTCCTCCCCTTCCCATTTGCAAACATTTTATTTCCATTTTTTCATTTTTTCCCATTTTTTCCTTTCCCTTATTACCTTTCCCCTACCCTTCCCATTTTCCCTATGCCTTTAGCCTCTTTCTTTCTATTTCACATTGTCAATTATCTCATTAGGATCTTATGTACTATTATAGTTTATTCACACCAGAGAAACTATTCAGTATTTACACATGTGTGACTTATTTATTTCACTTAGGAGTATATCCTCACAACTCCATTCTTAAGACAAAGGGCTAAGTTTAAGTCATTCCCAGGTGCAGAAAGCAGCTGAAATGCCCAGTGCAGTTTACAAGGGGTGCCCCTGGGAGCCACTGCAGCTTGTCATAATGGTGATGCATCTGAAGGTCATGGGCCAGAGCTGAGAATATTTCTGAAGCACCAATCTAGATTTTTGTGAACATGAGTCACCATTTTTAGCAGTAGACAAGCCTAATGGAATACCATGAGGCCTCAACCAGCCCCACCAGCCACGGCTTGGCGTATTCTGCCCCAGTTCCATCTGTTGGAAAGCGCTATCTATGCTCATGAAGTCACTCAGCAAACATCTGCCAAATAGCACCAACCCTGTTTGCCAGATGCTAAGTGAGCCCCGCCCCCGGTGCAATTCACAGCCTGCCCTGAGGTCCCCAAGCCCACTGAAGAAGGGCCCTTGTCCCGGAGACATGGCCAGGAGAGGCCAGGGATGAAGTGTTTCCACCCACGATCAAAGTGTATAAGGGCTGGCATCAGGAGGATGTGTACCCTCCCAGTGCTGTCTCTGGCTCACCCCTTCCACCTGCCCTCCTCCTGGAGGGTGACCCTGAAGCTGTGAGTGTGCAGCTCCTACCCTGCCGGTGGGAAATGCAACAGAGCCATGATAAACATCTCCACTCCGATCAGGCTGCAGCCCCCCTGCCATCTTGCACCCCAGCAACAGAGGCTAGAGCTCCCCTGCTGCCCCTTCTAGAGCAGGAAGATGGTGCTTGGGTAGCTGTCCCATAGCCCCACCCCAGGAAGCCCACCTGCCCTGTTCTTCCTAAGGACAATAGTAGTTGGCCTGTCCACCTCGGATCACCCACCCCAGACCTGGCTCAGGGCCAGGAGCCAGCACTTGCCCTGGATGCATACCTACCTGCTCTGGGAGGGCGCAGTTAGAGGGCACCAGGCCTCTCAGCAAGAGTCACAGCTACGAGGCCTTGGTGGTGCTGTCTGCAAGACAAACAGCGGGGTAGCGCATCCCCCGCACTGGGTGGTAACACTTTTGCCCATCTGTGACTTGGGGTAACCGGAGCAGTGAGCTGCTCAGACAGGACATGGTTTATGCCACAGTGCTATGGAATTGTCCGTTCCCAGAATGATTTCCTGGCCTCCCCACCCCAGGAACCCTGTCCTTGATTTTTATCCCAACACTAGTTGGGCCTCTTGCCAACTACAGCTATTTCGATCCAGGAATTGCTGCACCTCATAGGTGGATGCATGCGTGTGTGTGTGTGTGTGTGTGTGTGTGTGTTTTACAGGGTATTGAACCCATGCCTTTGCACAGAGCTCCATCCCCAGCCCTTTTTTATTTTTTATTTTTGGGACAGGGTCTTGCTAAATCACCTAGGCTGGACTCAAACTCATGATCTTCCTGCCTCGGCCTCCCAGAGTATGAGATTTCCAGTGTGTGCCATGACTTCTGGCAGATCTTTGCCTCTCTAGGAAACAGGTCCCACCAGGCCAATTGGCATAATAAGCAGGTTTGCTGGAGGTGTTAGGAGCTGTCAGGGATGGACTGTTTCTAAGAGCATCTCTCAGAAACCTTGTGTGCTCCTGGGCAGCTAACGAGCTATACCATCGTGGGTACTGGCACTCACCAGGTGATGTCCTGCTGCCACTGTGATGTCCCTCTGACTGCCCTGAAGAACAGACCTGCTACCTGTGAGGCAGGGCCACTGAGTCCTCCCCATGAGCCGGGATCTTTAACCTGCTCTTCTCTCCCAGGGATCTGGTACAACATCCTCAGAGGCGTCGGGAAGCTGGCTGTCATTATCAACGTAAGTGGCATCTCGGGGAGCTGGTTCAAATGAACAGAAGGCCCAGCCAACTCCTGGCTGGATGCCGGGGAGACTTGAAGGTGGAGTTGGGCCCTGCCTTCCACCTCCAACCCCATCACAGCCCACCCTGCTTCAAGGTCTGTTGATCTTGGGGGACAGGAGAGAGGACACCAGTTCCTCCGCAACCTTCTGGGAGCCTTCAGCAAAGCATGCCCATCCCAACCCTCCCACTGAGTCCTGAGGAGAGAGAAGACAGAAGGGAAGGCAGGAAACACAGGGAGAGAGAGCAGTTCCTCTTTGGCGACCTTTCCAGCTCTCTGCTCCTTTTTGTGGGTGGCTAATTTTTCACCTTTATGTAAAATGCAAGCCTGCTCTTTAAAGGAGCTTGGGAGAGGCAGAAGGGGGAACCTGTCAGCACCACCCCTATCCCCAGACGTCCAGAAGGCCAACGTCGCCCCCACCTCCTTCTGGTGTACTGAGCCTTACCTGCCCCAGGCCATCTTCCCCATGACCTGCTGCCTTGGGCTCCCCTCCTCTGCTGTGCTCTGGGTGTCCTCTCCCCAGCTCTGTCCAGCTGTCCCTGCTTGTGTTTCAAAGCCCAAGGGAGCCATAGAGTGTCCCCACTGCCACTGCCCCATGACCCTTGTCCCTGCCATCCAGCAGCAGGTCCTGAGTCTCCCAAAAGCTGACATCTTGCACCTTGGAGACAGAGGTGGCTGCCCGGAGCAGACAGACCCAGATTTGGGTTGCCAGTCACAGCAAGACCCTGGGATTTGGTTTTTACAAGGTGCAAGAGTAACGCTCAGCCCAGGAGGAGTCCTTGAGCCCTCGACAGTGCCCTGCCCTCCTGCTGACCACCCGCTCCCCCAAGATTGAGTCGTGATAGCATGAGCTGGGAGTGCTCTAGTTTCTCCCCCATACCTTACTGTCTCCGCCATCAACCCCAGAAGGCAGGGTCCCTGCAGAGTGGGGTTGCTGTAAGGGTGGCACGAAGAGGTTTGGTGACCTGTCCGAACCACACAGAGAGGCTGCTGTATCCACCTTTCTTGGCCTCCCTCTCACTATGGGGACCTTGCTGTTGCCAGCCCTGTAGACAGCTGAGGGGTTCCAGACCCCAGCCCTCCCTCCATTCACTGTCCGGGGCTCGCCCACTGTCACCACAGGCCTTCGTCATCTCCTTCACGTCTGACTTCATCCCGCGCCTGGTGTACCTCTACATGTACAGCCAGAACGGCACGATGCACGGCTTCGTCAACCACACCCTCTCTTCCTTCAATGTCAGTGACTTCCAGAACGGCACGGCCCCCAACGACCCCCTGGATCTGGGTTACGAGGTGCAGATCTGCAGGTACCGACTGCCTTATCTCCTGGTGGGTTTCTGGGAAAACCAGCATTTGAGCCAGGATTCTTTCAAGGGATAAGTCACAAAACAGCCCAGACACCCCCTTTTTTTTTTTTGTGGTACCGGGGATCGAACTTAGGCAGGCCATCGAACCGCTGAGCTAAATCCCCGGCCCTGGTCACCCCTTTTTTTGTACTGGGGACCTCGTGCTTGCAAGGCAGGCAGTGGCACCACTGAGCTAAATCCCCGGCCCCGAGACTTACTTTTGAAAGCTGCCTTGAGGGAGGCAGGTAGGGGATGGTGCCCTAAAGGAGAAATTCAGGAGCTACACTCTGTTGTCAGGCTGCTCCGCGGCCACAGCCTCTCAACTGTGCTTTCCCTGGTGTCATCATCATTTCCTGGCATGTGGAAAGGACCCTGCCATGGCCTCTGCCTCGCATCCTGTCTGCTCTGCAGCCCCCAGAGGAGGACCTTGTTTCCTTCCCATAGTCAACAAAAGCTCCAGACTGAGTCTTGCTGGTCTGTCTTGAGCCACGCTCCTGTCCCAGAACCAGTCACTCTTGCCAGGGGTTGGGGAACTCACATCAACTAGGCAGGGTCATGGGTCAGAGAATTGGAGGACCCTCTCTGTGGCTGCTCTGCTGACCAGAGGCTGGGAGATTGTGGGGAGCTGCTTGGGAGCCAGTGTGTAAAGCCTGGGTCTGGCCACTTACTGCCCATCCTCCACGGGCCTGAGGACTCGAGAGGGTGTCCTGATCCCACCCATCCGAGGACCTCCAAGCAGAAGCAACAGCCACATAAACAGATCAGTGACAGGAGGAGTGGGAAACCCAGGTGAATGACAGGGACAGGGAAACGGGGGTGGGCAGCCACACCAGAAGGGTGAGGTCAGGGTGGTCTTGGGTGGGCTGCTCTGTCTTCTGGAGCAGGGTGTGAAGGGTGGCGCGTGGACAAGAGGACAGAGCAGGCCGGGGTGCTGTCCCATAGCCAGAGGAGGAGGAGTGTCGGGCCGTGGAGCCTAGCTCCGAGGGGGAGCGGAGATCACACCTTCACCCGCAGCAGCTGTGGACACAGTCTCAGACCCTGTGGACTAAGCTCCAAACACCTGTGCCCCAGAACGCATATCGGGGCACACAGACCCCACCCCGCTCCAGGCTCTGCTCTGGCTTCCATCTCTCACTGTCCACCTCGGCTCTCAACCCTGACCCAGGGGAGGGGAAGAGGCCACCAGGGCTCAGGGCGCTGTGGGCGGCAAGAGGAAGTTGAAGCTGCAACATGAAAAAGAAAAGCAGAGCATCATGCTATGTGCTCTGCGTCAGGGCAGGGACAGCACCTATCTGGGCCCTGTGCAGAAGAAGCTGGAGCCAGTCTGCACACTGGAAGTCAGAGGGTGAAACAAGACACACCCCAACCCCACTTCCAGCTTAGAATTCCCTCAGTGGCCTCAGCATGCAGGCTCCTGTGCTTCAGCTGCAGTTGGTCCCCTAAGCCTGTGGATAAACTGGAGTAAGGGGAGGGCATATTCAGCTGGAACTGTGCTGAACGTGCCTGACCTCCTGCACATCCTGGCATCCTGGCCCCGCAGCACCGAGCGCTGTGCCCTTTCCTCATCTCAGGGCCGACGCAGCCGCCACCAGTCAGTATTGGCTCCAGACTGTGTAGTGCAAGCCCGGGGGAAGGTCCAAATTGAGAAGCCCAAGCAAAGTTGCTACTAAATGTGTACAGCTTTCACACTGTCAGAAAGTCAGGAAGTCCCAGGTGAACTGAGCATGGCCGTGCGTGTCTATAATCCCAGCACCCTGAGTGACTGAGGCAGGAGGATTTCAAGTCTGAGCCTAGTGTGGGCAATATATGTAGGTACATTGTTTATACCAAGGGCTCAGGAAGCCTCGCTGCACCTCCCCCCTGGTGAACCGGGGTTCCCTCGTCAGACACGTGGCTCCAGGAGCCGGCCACAAAGTGCCACCGCCGTCCTGGTCAGATGACACAACGCCTTGGTATTTTCACACTTTCCATGCCAGGAACACACTCAAGCGTTACATGTTTAACTGAAATGGAACTTTAGAAGCATGACTAAGAACCAAAGGGGTAGAGAAATATGCATCTCATTTCTCTAGAAGATTCCTGAGGGCTTTGGACATTACCATCTGTGAGATGAGAGATGGGCCCAGCCGGCCGGAAGGTCCCAGATCACACGGGCAGAAGGCAAGGACACGGGCTGAGGCCTCGTGTTTTGTTTCAGTCTTGTTGCTTGGGCTCCCACACAGACAGAGGCTGTGGGTCCCACTTGCCACTCCCCAGACCAGGGTTCCAGCCAGGCCTCCCTGGTTCCCAAACTCTTGTGCCAGGTTCTGAATTTTCCACCCACACCCTCATCAGGCCACCTCCCAAAGGAGGCACTGGCAGGCAGAACAGAACCAAGCCCAGCCAGGGAGTGGCCCCAGTGGTGTTCAGAGAGTTGAGAGCTAGGGTCACTGCTGGCTACTGTTTATTCCCCGCACTAAAACCGGCATTGCCACATCTAATCTTCCACCCATCCCCAGAGAAGGCATTACATTCTCCCTCGGGGAAGCCAGTGGGCTGAAAGCCAGGCAAAAGGGGAAAGATAAACATCACCTCGGGGAAAAGTGAGTACAGGTGGTGGGAGGTGGTATCTGGACACAGCTAGCAGTGGACTTTGAGGGATGCATAGGAGTTTGCTAGGTAACCCAAACACATTCCCCAGCATCCCGGTGAAGCTGGCCCAGGGCATAAAAGGAAAGAGGGAAGAACAGTTGAGTGTGTGGGCGGCCCGTCCCCACCAGAGAGCAGGTTATGTAACTTCTGCTGGGCTCAGCACCTGCCCCAGCATGTGTTTCCATCCCCATCCTATCTCAGCATTCAGTGCTGAGCAGAAACAAGGCTCTGTGGGTGTGGGGTTCTGTCTGTTGTGTTCCCCACTGAATCTCCACCCCTGAAATGGGGCCCGGCGTGTAGTAGCTCCTCGATAAATGGCTACAACATGAAGGAATGCTCAGACCAAGACCTAGAGAGGCTGAGGGACACACAGCAGCTGGTTATCCACGTGGGCCAGCTGGGCTAGCAAAAATGAAAGGGTGCATATCCTCCAAGGAAGACCAGACAGATTGCAGACGTGAGCCTGAGAATCGAGGGTCACCGCCTTAGCTGCGGGCTGCAGGAGGAGGGGTGCAGGCAGAGTGAGGACGGCTGGGCAGCTGTGCAGCCACCCCAAGGAGGTGTTTCAGACTGTTTCCTGGAACCCTAGAGTGTGGTGGAGGTCGAGGCTGGGTGAGGCCGCAGGACTTCAGGCTGAGAGCCTGGCCCACTCCGCCCAGGGAGTTCCATCTTCCCCGGCTTCAGCTGAGAGTCTCTTTGGAAAAAGGCTGCACAGCTTCTGAGTCTGGAACCTCGAGCCCAGAGGGGTCTGATGCTCACTTCCAAGAGCCCGAAGCTGGGTCTACAGGGATGTCTAGTGGGGTCTGTGTTCCCATGGAGCCACTTGGTGTGGACAGGCCCAAGAGCAGGGCCACAGGGCCAGGCCAGGCTTTCTGCGTCTCTCCAGCCACCTGCGTCCCACTTACACCCCACCACCTCCTGCAGGTACAAAGATTACCGGGAGCCCCCCTGGTCCGAGCATAAGTATGACATCTCCAAAGACTTCTGGGCTGTCCTGGCAGCTCGCCTGGCGTTCGTCATTGTCTTCCAGGTATGTTTTTCTGGAGGGCCCTCTTTGTTTCCCAGAGGTTTGGGGATCAAGATGAAGAAGCACTCTGCCCACTGTCCGCAGCTGCTGGCATCCAAGGCTCGGAGGAGCCCCTGCAGAGACCTGAAAGCCAAGTTCCGGATGCCCGGGGGGACACCTGGCCAGCCCAAGCCCTGAGCTGTGACAGGCCCAAGAGCCTCGTGGGAACAAGGAAGGGAAAGGGAGGGCTGAGGGGGGTGAGGGAGCTGTCAGCGTGCGTGGTCTTTGCTGAGACGTGCCATGTCCCCAGCGTGGTCTCCCCCTCTCTCTGGGTGGAAGGCTGGGCGGTTCAGGCTCCAGACGACTCCAGCCCCAACCCAGCATTCAGGGGACCCGCCCCCACCTAGCCGGTCTCCGGAGGAGGCTGGGGCCAGTTCCTTGAGACCAGGGGCCTCCAGTGAGCAAGACCTCAGATCAGGCAGTGGCAGGTACAGCAGCCACCCAGGGGCCATGGTACTGTGGCAAGGGAGCCCACACCAGGAAAGCAGAGGCCAAGAGCTCAGAATACCGGAGCCCCAGTATGGGCTTCTCCCCAGCTGGGCCCCCTGCATCCATGTGGCCTCGTGCAGCAGTGTACCTGTCAGCCTGTCACAGCAGCTGGGACCAAAGGTGTCAAGCTAGAACCCTGGGCTGGGGGTTCTTACGCATGTGAGCTATGGAGCAAAGCCCCTTGGGAAAAGGCAGGACAGGCACAAAGGGGCTCAGCAAGGAGGGTCTGGCTGGAGACTGCTTCCGCTAAGCCCTGAGGGAGCACCCAGCCCTGGGCCACCAGCACCCGAGGCTGTGCTTTGTCTGCCTAGCTTGGTTGGTCACTGGCTGTTGAGGCAGGGGACGGAGGGGATATGAGTTCCCTAGCGATGAGTTCAGCAGCCCACGCCAGCCATGTGGAGGGCCTGGAGCAACAAACAGAAGAGCGGCTGGCTCCAGGGGGCACCAGCATCATCTCCACAGATGTCACTCAGCTGGAGGTTCTAACATGCTCACTGGACGGAAATTTAGCCTACAATGTGATGTGGGGTTTTGCATAAGAAGCACTTTATTTTGCATTTGACCCCCAAGAAACACCTCCACCAAGGTGGTCAATGTTCCCAGCGGGCTGTGCAGGTTGAAGGAGGGCCCGCCTGGTCAGCAGACACCACTGACGCTCCATCCAGTGGGCTGCTGTTGCTCTGTTAATTACTTTCCTTAAAGCCTCAATCCTCCTTGTGTCTGATGGCACATGACCCATCACATCACTTCTCAAGCCTCCCAGCACAGGAATTCAGAATTATTCAGAGAATTTCCCTCCCCTTTACCAAATTCCAGTTCATTCAAGAAAATCCGCACATACCTCTGCAGGGCCTGCTGGGTGGGCCACTGGCTCACATGTACCTGCTGGAAAACTACAGCCCAGAGAGGTCAGAGTGCACGCAGGCCTAGGAGCTCTGCTGGGTGGGGCAGGAGATCCGGAGCCCTTCCCCTGGTGCATCCCTCCTGCTTCATGCCCTGACTCTCCTTGCAGAACCTGGTCATGTTCATGAGTGACTTTGTGGACTGGGTCATCCCCGACATCCCCAAGGACATCAGCCAGCAGATCCACAAGGAGAAGGTGCTCATGGTGGAGCTATTCATGAGGGAGGAGCAGGGCAAGCAGCAGCTACTGGACACGTGGATGGAGAAGGAGCGTGCCCCAGAGGAGCCGTGCAACAACCACAACCCCAAAGCCCGCTCGGACAGCTGTGGCAGCAGCGGCCCGGCCCCCAGCCACGCATACCACGGGGGTGCACTGTAGCTGGCGCTGGTACAGTGGGCAGGCCAGCGGGCTTCCCCACCCCACCGACAGCCACCCTCTGGCAGGCAGGCCTGCTCACCCCACCAGGGCCTGGTGGTCCCTGTGTTTTCTACAGATGTGGAAGACCACTTTCTGATAGGACAATGTTTTTCTTTCTTCTTCTTTCTGTATTTTTCCTTGTTTTTGCACAAAACCATTATGCAGGGAATTTTTTATCTTTAGTATTTAAGGTGAATCAAAACAATGGGTGGTAGTGCCGGGGATTTAGCTCAGTGGTTATGCTGCCTGCCTTGCAAGCGGAAGGACCCGAGTTCGATCCCTCGTACCAAAAAAACAAAAAATAATGGGTGGTGATGGGAATATACACATGGTGAGAACTGGTGCTTTGCAGAGCAGTAGGTGGAAATCTTGAGTCTCTAGAGCAGTGGGAAGAGGGCAGTGGCTCTAGAAATCCTCCTCTTTTGTCTGTTGCCTGCAGGCAGATGCAAAATGGCATTCAGAGGCATTGGCAAAAGCTGGTGCCGTGTTTCCAGAAGAAATGAGAAACAAAGAAGGAATAAGCAGTGTGGATACTGGTTCTGAAGGGCATCACCTGCCTCTAGGTCAGATACACTAAAGGACATTTAATCATCTTTTCCTTCTGAAAGTTCAGAACCCAAGTCCCTCTGGTCAGAAGAGAGGCACCCAGCCCTGTCCACATGGCGGGCAGGGGAGCTTCTGGTTTAGTCTTGGACAATTAAAGGGCACAACCGCCCCTCATTAGCAGCGACCAGTGCCCTTGTGTCCCAGGCAAGCTCCCCGCTGGCCAGTCCTGTGCCATCGCACAGCACTGACCTCGGAGTTGATCATCCTCCTTGTAGGATAAAAACAGGGCAACATTACCTAAGAAGCGTTTCGAAGGGAGGCTTAATGATTTCACCAAGTCCTGAGGCTTCCACAGTTTATGCAAAGCCTTAAAATATTTATTGGTTTTGTTTTGTTTTTTTTTTTTAAAAAAAAACCTCAATGATGGGGTGAATTGGGGGATTTTTTTCCTGTAGTTTAAGGTGGCAGGAGTTCATTAGTTAACCAAATACCATTGAGAGGAATTTAAAATACTGTAACTACCAAAGATTTTTATTAATAAAGTCTTCTATTTTGGTAACACTTCTCTATATTTTTACTCATAGGAATGTCACTGTTGGACAATTATTTTATAAGCTTGTGAGAACAAGTCTCATCAATAATACAAGCGATCTAAATTGCAGCAGTTATACTAACCAATTATCAGAAATTTCTCAAGCACCAAGAGAAACATAAAATGACACTTCACTGAAGCCAGGGAGAAAAAGCCTAAATGTGTTTGCCTTGAACTTGTCATGGGCGTGCTGTTGACATTCCTGTAATCAGCCAACTGTGATCAAAGCCCATGGGTGTCATAGTTTTCCATTATTTGCTAAAATCATGCAATCTGATGCTTCTGTTTTCTCTTGTACAGTAAGTAGTTTCAAATGAAGTTTTTGTATATAAATATTGTATGAAAAACTAGGTGATTACTAAAAATCCTTTTATGGAAACCATTTTTTAAAAAACTGAATGTGCCCGAATTCACAGAGGACTGTGGCTGAACATTCATTTAAATAAATTTGAATACACAACATTCTCCTCTGTTCACTGCTGTCTTCTGGACTTTTGCCCCAGGAAACTCAAGAAGCTGAGACGCTGTCCCCAAAGTCCCCAGTAAATGTGTGGTTGTTGCTGCAAATTTGGGAATGACTGAGTCGACTGTCCAGTTCCTTTAGTGCCAGGCACATGAGCTGTTTTAGGTGTTCCTGGAACTCCATCTCTCTGTAAGTGTGTGTAGCACATGTTTGCACATGTGTATACATGCATGTCTGCACATGTACACGTGTGTGTGCCTGCCGGCACTTTTGCACATTGTGACTGTACACGTTTGTATTTGCTGATGAGGTGTGCTTGTGTGTGTGCTTACGCACCTGTGAGCTTGTGCTTCTGTTTGCATGTTCATGTGTTTGTATGGTCAGTGTGCATCATACAAGTGGGTTCCCATGTATTTGCCTTTGCTGTGTGTGCACATGTGTGAATACATGCCTGTGTGTCTTTGTGTGTATAAATGAATGTGTGTGACCCTCTGTGTGTGTGTTAGGACAAAAGATTGTGGTCACATTTTCATTTTCTTTTTTGGTACCAGGGATCAAACTCGGGTCCTTGCACTTGCAAGGCAGGCGTCAGAACCAGAGCTAAATCCCCAGCTGTGGTCACATTTTCTTACCATCCTCTTCCATGACTCCCCAGTTTAACCCCTGGTCCGACAACCCAATACATTAGTATTTTGGGTTCATAGAACTGAAATGTCTTGAAAACCTTTTGGAGAGCAGATTTGGGCTGCCAATGTGTTCATGTGGGCAGTAGAGACAACTTTTTAAGCCAGCAGCAATAATCACTATCACTTTGTAAAAGAAAGTATATTTTCAATGACAAAATTCAGATAAAGCAAGGCTTTTAGCTGAGGACATTCTCCTTACTAGTCTCTCTCAGTGTGGCCTCAAAGTTCATGCCCCGCCTGAACCAAGGAGTCTCCCCCACCCATTGGTGGCCTCGAGCGCCCCTAGTACTGGTGCTCCTCACTGCTAGACCACCTCAGCCCACTGTGAACTCAAATGGCCCAAGCAATGGCAACCGAGGACACTCTGCTAGGACCACTTCCTTCTGCCTGTGAGGTGCCCGGGCAGGACATGCCTATGGGTGGCACCACAGGAATCCCTCCCCTCTGCATGCCACACCCCGCAGCCTGGGGTTTCTAGCCCTCTGGTGGATGAGGGTCCAGGCTTCTCACTCCACGGCAGCCTGGAACACAGCCCTCCTAACGCCTGCAGCATTGAGCAAGCCTCACGAAGCTCCACCCCTTCTCTCCAGGATGACTTGCAGAGGGAGACAGATGCTGAAACAGAAATGAACCCCACAGCCAGATCATTTCAGAGGAAAGAAAAGAGTACCGATGACAGTACAACATGGGTATGACTGATTGAGAGGGATCACATCGGTCAGGGATGCTCCTTGAGACCTGAGCAACAAGCAATGAAAAGCATAAAACCCTGGAGGACAGCAGGAGGGTAGGCAGAGGAAAGAGCTCGCACAAAGGCTCTAGGGCATCAGAATGTGGGGTGGGGTCTAGAAGAAGAGGGGCAGGAGGTGGCCAGAGCCAACTGGGCAGGGCCCCTGGGCTACATGAAGACTGCACATGGTGGTCAGGGCTGGTCTAGAGCAGAATGGCATCTGACTGACACCAAAGTCTTGGCAGTCACCGGGCAGAAATTCAGTGGGGTAGGAAGCCAGAGAGGACGCTGGAGAAACATGAGGCGAGTGACAACAAGGCCTGAATGAAAATGTTAGTGGTGGGTGGAGAGACAGCAATATTGTCAAAAAGACCTGGGACCTGGCAATAAAAACCCCAGACAAAGGCTGGGGATTTAGCTCAGGGGCTCTGCCTCTTGCCTTGTAAGCACAAGAACCCAAGTTCGATCCCCAGTACCCACAAAAAACCCAGATAGCCAGTGCCATTATTCTAGATGAGCACAAGAAGGCTCAGAGAGAGCCAAGGCTCTGCTGTGGGCTACACAAGAGTTGGCTACACAACCATCCTGTGGGTCTAGTTCCATAGCACAGGAAGTTTTCTACTGCTAGTTCTGGGAAGCAGGGTGGGGTGGGGTCCTGAAGTCAGCAAGCACTCAAGCCACTGGGAAATTAATTTAAAATCCAGACCTTGGATTTAGGGCTTTAGCTCAGTGGTGCCACCACCTGTCTCACAAGGTCCTGAATTCAATCCCCAGTACCAAAACAAAACATCCAGATCCGCATGTTCTCCTAACAAGTCACTCATCTGATGTCCAGCCCCATTTGACATCATGTCACATTCTCACATCCCAGAGAAGTCCAGCAGCCGCCATCCAGCCGGTGCACACGCCACATGGCCCCTCCACAGTCCCAGCTGTTCCTGCCTGCAAGCCTCACTGTGGCTTCCAGAGTCACTGGTTTTGCTAGATGAGCCTCAGGCCCGGGTCCTTGTCCTCAGTCTAGGATCAGCTCTGAGAATCCCTGGACCAGACTGGCCAAAGTGTGTGCCTGAGACAGACCTAAGGCTGGACTAAGCGCCCTGTCCCAGGCATCACACCCCAACTCCCCCCGCCACATTCTTCTACAGTCTCCTGGAGCCATTCACATGCCTCCTAAAATGACTCCACAGTACGGGTGGTGTGGTCACCGCACACGAGGGAGCACTCACTCACATTGCTGTGTTTGGTAAGAGCTGTGGCAAATTAAAGAACAGCGGACATTTGTCAGAAACAGGCCAGGAAGGAGCACGTGGTACAGTGCCAGACACAGAGGAAGCACCAGAAAGTGCCGAATGAATGAGTGGTGAGTGAGGAATGGGCGGGTGGGTGGCTAGGTGGGTAGGTGATCTGGATGAGTGGATAAATAGGTGGATGGGTAGGTGTATGAATGAGTGGATGGACAGATGGATGGGCTGGCCGTGATGGATGGATGGATGGATGGGTGAGTGGACAGGTGGATGGGCGGATGACTGATGGGTGGATAGATGGATGTCTGGGTGGATGAGCAGAGGCTACATGGATGGCAAACAGACTGACAGCTGGCCTTTCTGCCTTCGAGCTGGGTCTCTCTCAGGATCCAGCTAGCCAGTGTAGGGGTGGGAGAGTACAGAGGCACTCAGAAGGCACACTGCAATGCCTCTGGCCAGAGGTATGCCCTCATCAGGGTGCCCACACACTGCTCACCCACAGCCTTTGGCAGAAGAACCGGTGGCACAGATACAGCTTGCCTCTGGAGGCCCTGCTCTGGGACCAGCGTGGGTGTCCTAGCCAGGTCTCCTCAGCTGGGATGGCAGATGTTGTCCCTGCTGGGGGCCTGCAGAGACACAGCCACGGAAAAAAGGCTGGGCTTGGATGTCCTCAGCTCCACCAAATCATTTATCATCTGTTCTCTCACTCCTCCTCCTCCTCTTCCCTCTCCTACTTCATTTCCCACGTCTCCTGTCCTTCCTCCCGTCGTGTATTTTATTGAAGCGTAACATACAGAAAACTGCCTGTCCCACAAGGCACAATCCATTTCCGCCAAAAGCACAGGTATTGTGACCAGGACCCTGAAACAGAATTTCATGGCTCCTCAGAAGCGCCTGTTCCTCACGACCATTCTTGTAACCGTCACAAACGGACTTCTAACCAAGAAATGAGTTCCTGTTTCTTCCTGTTGGTGGCTGTCACCCTCTGCTGGCAGCCTTGGGAGTTGCACACAGATAGCAACAAGACCAGCCCTGGGTGGTAAATGATCACAAACTCTGTGCCTAAAAACAGCACAAACTCTTGGCTTGCTGTTCTGTAAGCCAGATGGATGCGTGACATGGTCACAGTGGCATAGATCAGGCAGGAGCCTGCTACAGAATGCCCACCATACTTGGCTGTGGCCATTTCCTCATCTTCCAGCCAAATCCTTCTCACACTTGCCATCTCCCTGGTTCAGTTTGAGCACTTGGGATCAGAGGGGTCTCCTGGGATAAACTAAGCTAATCTCCCCATCCCAAATCCTTAATCTATCTCACATCTGGAGGGACCTATTTGCATCAAACCAACAGAGCCCATATCCAAGATGAGGACCAGGTCTGGGTTTAGGCCATGGGGACCTTGGGGACATTATTTTGTTTACTCCTTCCCCTCTGGAAGGAGGCTCCTTTGAAAAAACTAAGGACACACAAGGAAACCCAAGCACCTGCAGCTACCTGGGTAAAGCATTCAGCACTGAGAGAGACCAAAGCAAACGGAAAAGGGAGAGATGAGGAAAAAATAAACTTGGAAGACATTGAGATGATACAAGGGGAGAAAAACCAAAAGAATTCTGATCACCATCATCTTCACAATTAAAAGATAAATTTACAGCCAGATATGCTGACACACACCTGTAAACCCAGCATTCTGGAAGGCTGAGGCAGGAGCATCACAAATTTGAGCCCAGCCTGGGGAACTTGGTGAGATCTAGTCTCAAAATAAAAAACAAAAGGATGAGGGAATGTAGTGGTAAGAGTGCTTGTGTTCAATCCCCAGTACTGTCAAAAGAAAAATTTAAAAAATAAAGTTCCTTCTATGCTTTCTTCCTTTCTTCTAAATTTCTTTTCGTAAAGAAAAAACACGAGAAAAGGAAAAACCGGAAACAAAGTCTTTGTAAATAGGGGAGGGTGGAGAGGGTGAAGGGAGAGCAGGGATGTGGGGAAAAAATGAGAACCAAGACCTGTCATGTAAATACAAGATCCCAA